AACAAACTTCTACACTTAGGGTCGTATTCTAGAACTCTACTCAATGCTCAAGTCAGGATTTGAGTATGGTTTAAAGCACTCGAAATCATACTCAAGTCCCTGCCATTAGGGTCGTATTTCCAGTGCTTGTGTTTCCAGTGTAATCCTGACTTGAGCATTGAGTAGAGTTCTAGAATACGACCCTAAGTGTAGAAGTTTGTTTGTCAGGATTGCAATTGAAACACGAGCACTGGAAATACGACCCTAATGGCAGGGACTTGAGTATGATTTCGAGTGCTTTAAACCATACTCAAATCCTGACTTGAGCATTGAGTAGAGTTCTGGAATACGACCCTCAAGCGTCGTATTCTAGAACTCTACTCAATACTCAAGTGAGGACTTGAGTATTGCAGTGAGCACTGAAAATCATACTCAAGTTCTTGCCATTAGGGTCGTATTTCCAGTGCTTGAAATCATACTCAAGTCTGCTCAAAAGTCAGGACTTGAGTATAATTTCAAGCACTGGAAATGATGGCAACTAATAGCAAGAACTTGAGTATGATTTCTAATGCTTTAAATCATACTCAAGTCCTAACTCGAACATTGAGTAAAGTTCGGGAATACGACCCTAAGTTTTATAGTCAACCTTCAGCTGCTTGTGAGGTCCAAAATGTTAAGTTTGACGTGCTTTCCACAGTAGGTAAGGTACGCATTTCGTTAATGGAATCGGAAAAAAGTAGTCCAGAATGTGTTTTATTCTTTATTGAAATAATTATATCACATTACAATGATTAAATGGGAACACAGACGTTTAATATGCATGACAGTTGAGTACATTTGATTATTGGCTAATCGTGAATCAAAAAAAGTCATGTCTTATTCTCTATTGAAATAATTCGTTCACACTACAATTATTACATGTAGATACGGACGTTGAACATGCATTACAGTAGAATACATTTGATTATTAGCTAATAATTAGTCAAAAAGTAGTCACAATGTCTTTTATTCTTTATTTAAATAATTCGTTCACACTACAATTATTAAATGTGGATATGGACGTTGAACATTCATTACACATTACATTTGATTATTGGCTAATAATGAACCAAAAAGTAGTCGTCACAATGTCTTTAAATTATTTATTGAAAAATTATCTTACAATTATTAAATGTGGATACGGACGTTGAACATTCATTACGGTAGAATATATTTGATTATTCGCTAATAGTGAATCGAAAAGTAGTCACAATGTCTGTTATTCTTTATAAATAATTAGTTCACAATATAATTAGTGAACGTGAAAACGTGCATTGCAGTAGAATACATTCGGTTATTGGCTAATAGTTAATCAGAAAGTAGTCAAAAATGTATTTTATTCTTAATTGAAATAGTTAGTTCACACTACAATGATTAAATGGGAATACAGACGTTTAACATGCATTACAACAGTAGAATACATTTGATTATTGACTAATAGTGAATCAAGCTTGACACTTATTAAATTGAATGGCCCAGTTCAAGAAATCTCTAAGTCGATGCCGTTCATAGTCCAAAGTGTCAAGCTTGATGTACTTATGACGTACAGTTCTAAAAGGGGTTTCTCCTTTCTCCCTTTTCCAGGACATAGATTAAATTACTAGGTACATATATTTAACGATACCATTCGATTCAACATCTATTACATTCAATGATCGGCAACACTTGTTTGAAATAAATTACCTACCCTAAGTTAGTACCCTTAAAATAAAAAAGAATATAAAAGAAAATCGCTTAAAACATTTATAATCGACCCTTAGCAAATTACTTTGAGCATATTTTACTCTCTTGCCAAACTAGTCAGGCTTTGCCTGTGGTTAAGATGACACTACCTTCAGTCGGCTGCAGTTTAAAAAATGCTTATGAAATCCAAGTCAATACCTTGATCCCTATCAATGGGGTCATACCCCACAACATAGCCATTGGATTCTTGGATCTGGGGGTCTACTCTGGATCTCCGTCCGAAACAATTACTGCCAAATAAACAATACTTGACCAAATGAAAAGACGCGTGCTGCAAATGAAGCTTCATACTTGATTCTTGTCTTTTAATTTTGTCGAATATTACTTATTTGACAGTAATTGTTTCGGACGGATGTCGGACGGAAATCGAGAGTAGACCCCTAGAACTTAAAAATTTTAAATCTCGCTTGGACTTCAAAAATATTCATTTACACGTTAAAAAAGCATCTGATTTCTTTTAAATCACAGTTGCAACTAAAATGCCAGTAAGATTAATATTTTATTTCATTGATTTTAAATAACGTCAACATCCAAAATTTAAAAAGTATCAAAATTATCAAGACAGAAATTTCTAAGAAACCTCAGGCCTGACCTATAAATTGTTTTGTAACGTAATGACCCCATTGGTAACCCTGTCAATTTTGGCGCCGATTTCATAGACGCCCTGTTTATCAATATACATATTAAACAAAGAAAATAAATTCGTAACACCTATATCATAGGTCCTATCATGTTAAATATTTAATTTTGAAAATTTTTGACATCACCACTTTTAAGTCTTTTCAATCCATGTTAGCACTCATTTTTATATCCGACAACCTTTTCTTTCTCCTTTCTTATCACGCTTTTTCTTAATTTATGAATGGAGACTACATTTATTCATAATTAAAAATTAACTTACTAAATTTAGTTAGTTTATGAAGACATTTTGGTACACATTACAAGTATACATTTGTCAATTTATTTTAAGAAGTTTAAGTACACAATGTACACACTCAGTCTGACGAGACTGAGGATCGTATTCCAGAACTCTATTCAATGCTCAAGTCAGGATTTGAGTATGGTTTAAAGCACTCGAAATCATACTCAAGTCCCTGCCATTAGGGTCGTATTTCCAGTGCTTGTGTTTCCAGTGTAATCCTGACTTGAGCATTGAGTAGAGTTCTAGAATACGACCCTAAGTGTAGAAGTTTGTTCTATTCACTATATTTTTTTGATAATACTACATCCACTACCTAACCTAACCTAATCTCTGACTTAAAAAGAGGAAAATTTAGTATGAAACCTGTATGCATCTGCGTGTCCGTTGCTAATGGCATGCATCGTATCTCCTAAACGGAAACGCATGGATTGGATGAACTTGTTTTCGTTTTTTTTTCTCAAACTTCGTTTTTTTATTTGTTTTACTTTTGTTTTTTGTTTCTATTTTTTTCATAAATTCGGGGAGCATAATATTAGTCAATAAATATGGCTGTTTAAAAAAATAACAGAAAATGACTAAAAAATAAAGATGGCGTAGTGTTCATTGGAGGTATCGATCTGCTGCTCCGTTTAAAGATAATCAGTTCTTTTCCCAGTTAGTGTAGCATCCATAAAATTTATGTTTATAATACATCCACTTGGCCGATAGACTTGACATTTGAATCCGGACCCGATGACACTACAGCGATATGGTAACTAATTATGATCTGATACTCCTACAACTATAACAATCTGCAGACTACCAAGCTCCTCATCTACTTACAGCAGAACTATCTTGCTAGGGCTCATTGAATGGTTATCTTACAAACGGTGACTAGGATCTGATGATGACTACACAAAGGAACTAAGCTGTATTACAGGTAGACTCAAGAAGTTTCTACTCGTTGTATTGGTCTCGACCAGTAGTAGATAGATGGTAACTTTTTACTTTTTAGAGTTCACTGTTTTGAAGGGTTAGGGGTTTTTAAAATTTTTTTTTTATTTATTAATGTTAGACTGACGAAGGCATAGTTTAAAAACTTTTTAAATTTTTGACTTTGTAGTTT